GACTAAAATAAGCCCAATAGAATAAATAAAATAGTCGACTAAAAGTTCAAGTGTCTCCCTTTCAAGGCTAAGTGCCTCTAAGATTAAAATGTTCTAAGGTAAACCAAAGTTTCACTGAGGTGATAACACTCAAAGATGACACCAGGTAAGACAGAGGGTGCTGAACTTGACCAAGAGCAAGATTTCATTTTGAATGTCCTATGTATAAGGAAGATGCCAGTTTAAGGGGAGAATAAAGTCATGGAAACGGCAAGTGCCGGAGTAAAATCCTAAAAGCAGAAATTTAAAACCAGAAAACCTAAAAGCTGAAAGTTTAAAAATAAAACCAGATAAAATTAGTCAGGTGTGCTCGCAGGGGCAAGCAGATCATCGAGGGTATATTTAAGAATTTCGATGATTTTCTCCCTGCAGTCAATATCTCCCCTGTATAAAAATAAATTCTGTATAAACTGAAAATTATTTTAAGATAGGGTTATACAAGGAATTAAGTGCATTTAGGGTTATTCCCAATATCTGATCTAGATATATAACTAGCATTTTAATAGTGGGAAAATATTAGGTAAAAACATTTCTAAATACTTAAACTAGGTATCAGTAACAGTAATAATCTTTGTTAGACTAAAATATTTAAGAAATAAATGAGACAAAAAGTGTTTCGCTATATTGGAAAATCATAAGGGGTCGCCGGCGACTCCGACTTTCTGGGTGTTCAACTTAATTTACCTTTTGTTTGCTGCGCAAAAATTATAAGACTTATAAGCTTGAAATTACTAAGGTGTATAGAAAAATTACACAGGTATTACGATGCGCTTAAGAAATAAACCTTCTATATTTTGTTCGAAAATTATAAACTGTTAAACTTGTTGGAAAAAATAACATATGGGTTACTCTAAAATAATTACGATTTGACTGTTAGTTTGAGATATATTAACCGTTAAACTTGTAATAAAAGAAAACATGTTTGCCGTTTCACTGTTCGTTGAAATGCAACTATATAGTTGAAATTTAAAAAGCTGATGACACCATTTTGTATTCTAGTTTTAACAAGAGTTTCTTAAAAGTTCCCCTTTGTTCGGAAGTAATTGTAAATTTAAATTCTTTTTCATAATTTTTTTTCCAACTGTTTTTGCTTTAAATATTGACTATTTATCCATTGTTGTAGAATTTTTTTTTCTTTCACGGGATCTTTTATTTTTCATTTTATAAACTCAAGCTCAAGTAGATGTCAATCAAAAGTAGTGAACAAGATAGATAGATAGATAAATGGATAGCTAGATAGATAGATAGAGAGAGAGGTTGCGTGTTACCTGATATAAATCGCGATTTATCGTGAATTTCTCTTTAAAAAAACTTAATAAGGAACGATAAGAACTATTTTCAATTTGAATAGTTATAAATTTCGCCATCGACTAAATTATTTCTCGTTTATTTTTCCTTTTTAAGTCGGACATTCTGTGTTCATAAATTAAAACATTTTTTTTTCAGTTCAGATGATTATTTTTTAAATCTAAATAATTGTTTCATTTCCTTATGATCATTTAAAAAAAATAATCTTACATAAAGCTAAAATAATCGTATACTTTAAAGCCAAAAATTTGTGTGTTTTTTGAGGAAAATTTTTACGTTCAAGAAGAAATGAACAATAAAGAAATGAGAATTAATTACGGGGAGTGGTGAGTGGAGAAAGTAGGAGATTGAGCTTCCTAGTATTTTAAACAAATCAAAATTTTTCCCAGTTATAAATTTTAATTGAAGAACTTGGAGAAAGAAGATGCAAAGCAGCGTCATGAAAGTGAGTTATGCTTTAAATTTAAAAATATATTATGGTATGCCACAAGATTAGAAATTAATGCTGAATCATTAAATAAGATTATTTTTAATGGGAAAATGTGTTATGTAAACAGTTTTTTGTGATCGTTACTTTTCCTAAAGCTTGTGCGTCTAAGTTAGCTGAAGTGTCAGCTAGTAACTTCTGCTTCTAATTTCTCAAATGGTTTAATTATTTTCAATAAATTTGGATCATAAATTTAATTATTTCCTAATGCGTTTGTTAAAAGAAGAATTAGAATTTATGTTGAACTTTCATTTGCTGTAATACAAGCTGGCTTTGTACCTCTTTTATGGAAATATTTTTTTGGTAACTTTTTATACTTTTAAAATGAAACGTAGAGTTCTAAATATTTTGTAAAAGTGTTCGTATGATTCTATTTTTAAATATAACAGAAAACTTTATGACCCTCAAAAATTTTCCATCAAAATGTCCCTATGATTTAGAATAAAGACAAAGAAAAATGACTTTATTGTCGAAAATTTGGCTAAAATTTTATTATGACAATATTTAATTTTTTTTTCTTTACAATGTCTCACAAAAGTAGTTAAATGTCTCAAAAATTTCCTTTTTAATGTCGAATTTTTTAAAAAAAGGTTTTGCTTGAATTCTCTAAAAATTTATAGTAAATGTATTAAATAATTTTTAATTATAAACAGTTCTATTATTTTATTTGCAATATAAAGTGCAATATAAATATACCCAATTTAATTATTATTATTTAAAAAAAACCTTGAAATCAATAATAGCGAACTAATAGTATAGTAATCCAATGCATTTTTCTTGTTTTACTTTATCAAAACACTTAGTTTAAACTACTCTCATAGACATCAGTGAGAGTTTTTAGGGGAACAGTTTGCAGAAATTATGTACTACAGGATGCCTCACACAATTAGTTTCCAATGCTTTATCATCGGTTATGGCAGCTTAACTTTTTGCTTACCGCTGGTATAACAGGTGGACTAGAATGACGAGATTTATTATACTAAATACCGCAAGCAAGGGGTTAATTTTTAAAATTTTACTTAAAATCTTCTACCAACTTCTTCAATTATTTACTTAGACTTAGTTTTACTGAAATTGAACCATATATCGAAGGATTTTCCCTTACAGATTTAATTTTTTTCTTAGTTTCAAACATGGCAGAAGAAGTTCCTGCTGAAAATGAAGGAAAAATTCCCTTCACTTCTCGCAATGGGTCATACACAAAAGCTGTTTTCCGCATGCTGAAAAGCAGCGCAGTAAAGACTGTATTCAAGGGTATTGTACTTTTGCTGTTCTTATCTGCATTTGTTTATCAAGTCATCACTTTTCTCAACTATGTTTTTGAATATCCTACTGTGGTCACTACAGACATTATCTCGCCTGAAAAGTATTTGACACCGGCATTCACATTTTGCAGCAGCGTGAAGTAAGCTTACATTCATTACATAAGACTTCTTAGGTCTGTTGGCACAAATAATGAATGCTAGATTTTAGCACATATATTTCATTAAAAGATTGCCTGAATAATATATATAAAATATAATAAATTAATAATTATTAATAATTATTCTTTATTCAGAAATATCGCATTTATCGTAAAGGATGTGTCTTGACGATGACTTTTGTATATAATTTAATTTTATTATAATCTTAAAATAATCTTATCTTAATATAGTAATCTTAATAACATAATAATCTTAATAATATAATAGAAAAAGAAACTGAAGATTCCTTGTTCATATTAACCTAAACAATAAACATTAATTACTTAATGACTGCCTTTTTCAACAAATTGATGGTATCTCTCATAGCAAATATTTTTAGATTTAATGTTTGCTGCAATTTTCTTTCTCTAAGAGAATATAAATTCATTAGGTCATTTGATAACCTTAATCTTCCTATAAAGTTATCCTTTCTCAGGTGTATTAATGATCATTTGGTTATTAATTCTGATGAATTTGAAATTTTATTTTAAGAATTTATCAAATAATTTATGAACAAACTAATATTTGATATCTTCAAGTGAATTTTCATGATTTAACTTTTAAAAATAATGAAGATAGATAAATTTACATCAATATTTTTGACAAAAGAAACTACTAACATTCCAATTAAAAGTATTGATTTTAATTTTACCTATGCCGAAAAGGTTTTTTCAATATAATTACCAATCAGATTCTAAGCTTTTATAGAATTAATTGCAGTATAAAAACTTTTTTAAGACAGACTGATAATTATAAAATATATCTAATTAGTAACAATTTTTCTTATTGATTCTTTCATTTTCATTTCAACAAAGCTCTAACAAATTTGGGACGTTAATTTATTTTATTTCTGATCATAGTGCTAGCTCTGATTTATTTTTAGGCTGAATGCTAATTATAATAAGCTTTTCCTAAAGCCACTGGACAGAATAGCTAGGATATATGAACTTTTATACTGGATAAATTAATATATTAATGGAACTCCTTACTTGTAGCTCTTATTTAATAATTTTTTAGCTTAATTTTGAATGTCCAGTGTTAATTAGCAGTTTTTTATAGGAATTCTAATCTATAAATGAACACCCCCGATGAATACGAGTAATACGTGTAGACTTATAGACTTAACTGTTATGAAAGAATGCATAACAGAGGGGTAAAGTCTATAAACTGCTTTCCACCCATTTATGCAGACTCTTATTTCTAAATAGGCACCCCATGAAAGAAGGANTAATAAGCTTTTCCTAAAGCCACTGGACAGAATAGCTAGGATATATGAACTTTTATACTGGATAAATTAATATATTAATGGAACTCCTTACTTGTACCCTTTATTTAATAATTTTTTAGCTTAATTCTGAATGTCCAGTGTTATATAGGAATTCTAACCTATAAATCAACACCCCCGATGAATACAAGTAATACGTATAGACTTAACAGTTATGAAAGAATGCATAACAGAAGGGTAAAGTATATAAACTGTTTTCTACCCATTTATGCTGACTCTTATTTCTACATAGGCACCCCATGAAAGAAGGAAAGCCAATAAAGTGATTTATATATATATATATATATATATATGTTGGTAAAAACTCTTTAAGGAGAGGTCGGGAACATGACTAGGATTCAAAAAAGTCAAGGGGAAGAGTAATATGACAGGTACAAGAAATAAAGAAACACAAGACCGAAATCATCTAAAATATTTATTCGTCAGAAATATTACATGTGCTGTGGTAAATGATATGAGAAAATGTCTCCGAATATGTTAAAAGTTTCTACTATTACACGAGATGCGTACGTTACGCAGTCGGGCCATAGATTGGCGAACTAGGTCAAATACACATGGATTTTGTTGGATATCCTCAGCACCACAAACGAATGTACATAAGTATAATGAAGAAGCAGAAATGGCTCAATTTTATTCAATTATTTTATGTATTTAGCCACTGACATTTTCGTGGATAATTATATTATAATTTTGTTGCGTGCCATTATAATGCATTTCTTTCACATTTCATCTCATTTTTTTAATTTTAGAATTAGTAGAGAAAAGTACTGTGTGAAGTATCCGGATAGATGCATTGTAGCTGACGATGAATTCTGTGACAAATATAAGGGATACTGCTCCATACTTAATATCACTGTAAGGAAAAAATTTCATTTATGAGTGCACACAGACCACATAACTGAGTGACAATAAACATCCCCGTTTTAATTCTTTGCCACACTCAACCCTAAAGAGAATGACAAGGATGCAGTCTTTCTATATTATTATTTTTTTTTCAGTTTTCGCTATTACTGTAGTTCTTATTAAAATTAAAATCCATGCCATTTAATTGTGATGAAAAAATACTTACGTTTTTTTATCTATTGGATTCAAATATTTCTGCACTGAAATTTTTGTTTTATTTTTTCTATTTTAATTATTTGGTTATTTTGTTGCGAATATTTATATCGAAACTAATTTACGGGCTAACTTCTAGCTTAAATTCCTTTTATGCTATACATTATTTTTTAAACATATGAAATTTCAAAGAGCTATGCCTATCTCTTTTTTCTGAGAATCGAACATTATAAGCTCAAAATCTATGAATAACTTCGAATCTGCTAACATAATGCACTACACTGTTTTTTCTTTTTTATTCCTAAAGAAAACTTGATTTCTAGCTCAAAGTTGTTAGCTATTATTAATTAAGTGTTGTGAAGAATTTTAAATTTATTTATATCCAGCTGTCATTGCGATTAAAGGAAGGAAAAGAAAATTGAAGCTCTTAACTTATAGATAAAAAAAATCCACCTTAAGCATATACGCCCTAGTCCCGTCACTATGTTTCTACACCGGCCCCCCAGTTGACATATGATTGCTTATGTCTAATACCGATTAATTGAAAAATTGAAGCTATACAGAGCAAAGGTTTGTAATAAAATAAGAAAAAGTCAGTATGGCTTATAATATATCATTACCCTTAGATGTAATTCTCAAAAAAATTGTTAATAAACGTAAAAAGAGAAAATTTGAAAGTCACTTTTGCACCTTTCAAAACCTTTTCTCTTAAATTTCTGAAGTATTCACTGTGTGACTTTGCAAGTGTATATGGAGGTGCACGCCAGTGTTGCCAATTTACGATATCTCACAAAAGAAATGTGAGCGATAAATAAAAAAATATAAAAGATGTTCACTTCAGTCCTATGTCCCCACTAGCTCGCCTCTCCCCTATATGTTCAATATTCGACAATATTGACATCAGTTATTAAATTCAAAATAATAATCATAAGATAGGGAAAAAAGCCACAGTTAAAACTAATAGTGAATACATTTTATACTTTCGTCAAAGAAATATCATTGTACTAAATGTGTATTGTTTTACAGTGTTTAATAATGTAAGAAATTTATATCATACACAATAGAATATTCTTAAAATAGTTCAATCGTGGGAGAGAGAGTAGATAAAAATATTTCTTTACCAATTAATGTACTTTATTGTTAATAGTATTTTTTGCATGCAAAATTTATTCAGGTAAAGAAAGAATACCTTCTGGAATTGAATGAAACGGACCTTGATGAACTGGAATATAATCTCTTAGATATTTTAGTTCATCCACGAGATATAAAAGAGTAAGTAAAATACGTTTCCTTAAAAGTTTCTTTTGAATTTATAATTTTTTGATTGCTTTGAAGTCAAAACGTCAGTGCTACACTGTTTGAAATTTCTCGAAAAGGCTAAGTGACAATTTATTTAATTGTTATTTCACCATATTTAAACAAAGCTGAAAAAATAACAATAAATAAGATGTTATTCAAACTGTAAGCTGGGAGAAAAGCCGTTTATTAACAGGTATTATCTAATACGGTTAAGTAACCAGAATGTTATTGCACCAAATAGGCCACCTAGTGAAGTCCCTCAGTATCTTGCAGCTGAATATATATTTCTGTCGAGTTGGCTAATCTGTGAATCTCATGACCGATACAACGCGGGTTCGTGTCCCAACTTCGACACCACAATACTTCCTCTATTCTCTTCAACACAAGAAGAGTTTCCAGTATCCTGCACTCCCCAATTTGTGACTCTGGAATATTAGAATATGATACTGTTATTCATGCATAGATGGAAGTACCATAAAGCTGTTTAACTCGAAAAGTCTAGTATTTCCCATTTCATACGAATATTAGAACAACCAGATAAACTAATTAAGCCACATTCCACGGTTCATTTGAAAAAACACAATTCAACCACAAGCTAACGAAAAGAATAGCTCCAATGCCCAATTAAATTTCTTTTCTTATGGTTTTGGAGCTAGTTGTAAATGATTTCAAAACCGTAGAGGTGAAATATGTTTTTTTTTTTACCATACTTTACGGTTAATTGGATGGATAGACTGCTGCAGTTTATTTTATCGTAATTTTAGAATGAAAATTCTAACGGTGTATATATTTGATAAATTGGTAAATTTATTTAAAAGCAAATATTTATATAAATTTGTTCAATATTATAATCATTATTCGGGAATTATATTGCTGAAATATTTGTTTCTTTTCTAGCACCAGATATTGGGATACAGGCGCACTGCCAAGAATATCATATTCATACAAAACTATATCAAATTGCTATTCATACGCTTCAGTTACAGAAGAACAAAAAGAACCAATATACGAGTTTCAAAGAAACATTTTCGAAATTGGCAAAGGTTCATCAAGTAAGTATTCAGACAAAGTTTAAGGGAATATTCCTAAATTCAAAAATGCTTTATAAAAACGGACGGTAAAGTTAAATAAAAAAAGGCAATTTTATTTCTTGATATAAACTGAAAACGATTCAAATACTGTTAATAGTTAAAAGTGTTGCGAAGTTGTTAATTATGTTATTTTTGTTTTTATCTCAGAAAAAAGTCATAAGCTGCTGAAAATTACTATGATAACATTTTGGAATATAAAAAAAATTGAAATTATAGCTAAGTTATGTAAATAATTCCATTTCTCTCTTGCATTTTTTTTCATTATGAATTAGTTTAAAAATATCACATAATATATATATA